CATTAATTAATGTGTTTCATTAACCCTTAATATTAATGTTAATGTTTTTCATTAATCATTAATCATTAATATTAATGGTTAATGCTTTTCTTTAAAAACTTAATTCATTAATATTAATGATTAATGAAAACATTAGCATTAATATTAATGACTTAATATTAATGAATTAATGTTTAATGAGAACATGGATTCCTTAGTATTAAGTCATTAATATTGGCGAATCATGTCTAATGGGAACATTAATTCATTAATATTAAGTAATTATTCGCGATTAAGGCCCCCCCCTCAGAAGCGAGGGTGTGGGTATGGGTGTGGGTATGGGTGTGGGTGTGGGGTGTGGGTGTGGGTGTGGGTGGGTATGGGTGTGGGTAGATAAGACTAAAGAACCGACCACCACACCCACACCCACACCCACCCACACCCACACCCACACCCACGCCCACACCCACACCCACACTCACACCCACATCCACACACCCACACCCACCCACCCACACCCACACCCACACCCAAATGATTCAAATATAATAAATTTTGGTTTAATACTTGATCAAGTTAAAGTATTATTATCATTAATAATTATTTCAAGTTGGTTATATTCATATTATTTAGGATATAATCTATCATCATTATTAATATTTCATTTATTAAATCGAATAACATTATTTGAAGATTTTAATTTATGTATTAATCATTTAATATTATCAAGAAATATTTATTCTATTAATAAACGAATAGAAATAATTGAATATTCAATCAAACAAATTAATACAAAAGAAGATGAACAATGGAAAATATTAGAAGAATATTTAAATAAATATTTATTACGTTTTAAAATTTTACAAAAATTTTTACCAGATTATACATAAGATGAATTAAATCAATTAGATCAATGTAACGATATTCAACAACAAGAACAAATTCTATCAAATTTATTATGTAAACATGTATAATTTCATTTAATTATTTATTTAAGAAATAGTTTCTTTCATGACATCTCAATTTATCAAATATTAACATTAACTATTGAAAAAATAAGTCAACATATTAAGTAAAATAATTTACAAACAATTTATTTTCTTTTTTAACTTTTTATTTTTTTTATTGAATATCTGGTGATGAAGATAGTTATTTATTAGAAAGTATATCTATGGATGATATTGATGAAAAAGAATTGTTTTCTTGTTTATAAAAAATGTGTCGTTCAGAATTAATTGATCGTCGTGTTCGATTTAAATTAATTGATAAACTTGATATAGTAAGATTTATTATATATATTTTAATAATTTGTTTCTTTTATTATTATTTAATTAGATGTTTGATAAACAAGGTCTAAAATCAGCTGATCTTCTATTATTTGAACAATATTATTTATCAACATTACTTTCATCATTTAAATCATTTACTGAAGTAATTTTAGTTTTCTTTGTTTTTGTAAAAAATATTTTTTTTTTTTATAATTAGTTTAAAAAAAGAAGATATCGAAACAGATGAAAAACGTTCGATTCTTTTTCAAAAATATCTTTTACAAGCTCAACGACTTATTCATTTTGAATCTCTTATTCAAATTCTTAATAATACTTGATCAAAACAACAAATTAACAATATGAAAGGGTTCGATTAAAATATTTCTTTTTTTCATCAAATTAAAATGAATGTTTTCTACATATTTTAGATCACATGAATTGACTTTAAAAAAATGAATTAATTTTAACGATGATTGAAAAAAATTCAGATTGGGAAAAAATATTGACTGAAAATACAATGTTATTTAATGAAAAAGTATGATATAATGAAAACGCTATTTTTTTAGAGATACGCATTTAGTTGAGAAGAAATGAAAATAACTTATTCCCTATTCTTTCAGACAGTTATTAGTAGATCCTTCTATAAGTGTAAGAGCTTGGTTTATGATAATCTTAATTACTCATCCAAAAGTGCTCTTCTATAATACACTATCAATTTACCTAAAAAAAACAAGATGGTTTTACTAAATAGGCACTAGTTTATTAAGGAAAAAATTCACTGATTAGCAACTATCAAATAAAAGCTTATAAAAATTTCAAACTTTTTTGACTCTTGCTTTGTTTTGGTTATATGTTTTTCTTTGTGTAAAATCGATTTTTAAATAAAAAGATGAATGAATTGGTTTAGTTCTTTATTATCCTTAAATTCAAGGGTCTTTTGTATTTGATTAAATAATGATGTTCAATTTAGGAACTGTACTCATTAATACAATATTTGTACAATTCAAGAGAACTAACGTCCTATGCAAATAAATTATGGTTAATAAATCCAATATTATCATTAATCGATTTACTTTTTCGATCACCAGTCAATTTCTTTTTCTTATTAGTATTTACTTTAGTTTCAAACATGTTCTCTTATTTATCTTTAGTCTAAATCCATAATTGATAAAAGATATTTATTAATGTCAATTGAAAGACATCGAATCAATGATTCATTATCGATAAATCCTTTATTATTTGATTATATTATTTGAATGGAAATCTTTCTCATGAAGAAAAACATCAAATTCTAAAACAAATTGAAAATAATGAAGAATTTCTTGTAAAAATTGCTCAGTTATTTTGTTCATAATGGAAACTATTCATCATTTATATCGTTTGGTTTAATTATTGATACTTTAGAGAAATATTTTTTAAATAAATAAACAATTTTCCTTGATTTGTTTTTTGTTTCAAATAAAGATTTTTATCAAAGATACATTTGTTTGATGAAATTATTAATCTATTAATGAATTTGTCTTTTATTCTAAAATTCTGTATAATTTTAAAGTCTAAAATTCTTTCAATAACCTTTTCTGTTTATGTACTCAAAAAAGTGAGTACACTCTAGAATCGGTCAATATGTCCGTCCGGCTGTTTACACAATAACTTTCGAAAGGAGAGTTCGATTGCGCTGAAATTTTCTATACACATTAGTCTTTACAATATCTCGGTCGAATTCGAAGATGAGAAGGATCGGATCAGCCGAGCTGTTTCTGAGTTATTGCAAAAATATTCATTTTTCCTTATGGCTTCCTATGGGAAAATCGATCCATCGTCTCTTTTGTAAAAAAGACTTTTCCTATCATAGCCAATTAAAACCCAAACCATTATATACTATTCGATAGTGAATTTCAAGAGCTACAAAATTATATATAAAATATTAGGAAACAAGAAGACTATCTTACTCATCGCACAGGTAAATATGCAAGAATCTATTTTGGTTTTGTGCACGCTCTTATTGATCCTCAATTAAAACTCTATCTTGAGATCATAGAGATGATAATCGAAGGTTTTCTGGGGCGGAGAACAACAATCTGCACTGACATTGCATCGAAGTCCTATTGATTAAGCATTATCCAATAGAAATCAAGTTACAGAGAAAATGACTCTGTGAGGCTAAGAGGTCGAACACACTAGAGACAATTTTCTTAACTTAAGTCTAAATTAACCAATCACGTTACTTAAATTAGTCTTAAGTTAAGTCACTTTTTCTAGTGTGTTTGACCCCTCAGTTAAGCCAAAGAGTTGAAGTTTGAGGTGTATACGCTCTCAAATCCTATTGATTGAGCAGTAGTCAATAGAATTCAAGTGTTTATAGAAAAGGTTTGCCAAATTACTTTGTATATCCACACATTCTAGGATAACTAATTTGTCTCATTCACTTTTTGAAGTGCACATAACTCTCAGACTTATGTCCGAGGTTTCCGCATTTATTTGTTTTTGTTTTTATAAAAATGAATATTTCATGAAAATTGAAAATTAAATCAATTAAAAACTCTTAATTTGAGTTTGTAATTAGTCTGTTTCTAGTTGTTCAAAATTTCTGATGATTATTGATGACATCATATTCATATCATCAACTAGAATTTCATTCATTATTCTATATTTTAATAATCTATGATTTAATCGATAAGAAATATTATTCATCAAGTCAAATATCATTTTCATCTACAGATTTTTTTTTTGAATATATTTATTTCTAACATAAGTTATCTTTTTCAATCTATATAAAACAATAAAGAAAAGGTCTTTATGAAAAATTAGAATATAAAACACATCTATTAAGTAACGAAATATTATTTTTTATTTATTAACTAATTTATCCATGGTTTTCATCAAATAAACTTCAATATGAACCAACAAAAAAAATGAAATTATAAACACAAGAACTATAATCAAAAAAGTTCAGCTAAGTTTCATGCATAAATTAATTTTTTTATTGTCTTTCAGTTAAAATACTTTGGATTGACAATCATTTGAAGATTTACGTAATTTTTTTTTAATATATTTTGAATAATTATAAAATCAAATACAGTAGGTGATTTTCGTATGGATTGCAATAACTTATCATAGGTTCTATTCTGTTTTTGCATATCTGTCCATATTTTTAAGACATCATGTTCTTTCGTTTTCCCGTATATTGTTCCATTATTAATTCTTTTCATCTCGTTTCTAACATCTTCATTCATCATATATGTGATAACATTAATTGCACAAAATAAATCAAAATTTCGTTCATATTTGTACCATAGAATTCCATGAGGATTTTCCATCAACTTTGTATATTCTGTTAAGAAATCGATACCAGCATATGTTGTTGCTCCTTCTATTGGTAAATTTAGTAGAGGTTCATTGCCTATAAATTTGACGGCAAAACCGAAATCAATTAATCGTAACTTTTCCTTAGGATCAATCATCACATTTTGTGGACGAATATCACGATGAATTAGATTCTTTCTGTCTAAATATTTAACAAAATCAATCATATCCAGACAATGAGATAATTCGAATGAATCAATATGGTGGAATGCTTCAGTAAATATCAAAAATCTTTCTAAATAAAAAGATGAATAAATGATAAAGCAATAAAAAGAAAAAACTTGTTTCTTTAGTGATTGTCAAATAAAAGAAAACAATTTCATTGAAATTTCATAAAGAACTCAATCGCCAGAGTCGATTCCTATTGATTCTTTCAAACACAGAATAAATAAAAATCTTTTTGGTTTTCCTCTCATCCAAATAAAAAAAATATTTTTTGTAAAAAAAAAAAATAATAATTCAATTTCAATCTCCAGTTTCTATAAAAAAAATGATCTTATAAATAGAACTGTAAGTCGAATATTTTCGTCGAGAAATTTTACATGAAATAAACTTCAAATTACTTAAAATATAAATGAATCATTTCTTATCGTATTTTTTACTGAGTAAAAATTAAAAAATATTATTTTCTATAATAAAAAACGAATTTTTTCAATTTATTTTAATCTTATATTTGATCATTTCTCAAAAACAAATCATGTTTGAAACAGATAAAAGAAAACCATGTAAAAAAAAAAAAAAAAACTAAATAGAAAATATTAAATCTGTAAAAAACTAAAGAAACGTTTTCTGTTATTCAAATAACGTCTACCAATTATTCACAAAAAAAAACTGAAAAACTTCAACTAATAATATTTCATTTATATTCGAGATTGTTTTTCTTTCAAATTTTAATCTCAATTTATTCTTTTTAATTTGAAGAATTTTCTTAAAAAGAAAAACAAAAACAAAAAATTAATTTTAGAATACATTTCATCGAATTTCAAATATTTTCAATTATTCAAATAAATATGCAATATAAAATACGAATTCATATTCTATTTTCTCATTCTTCTTCTAATCAAATAGATTTCAGATTCATTTTATGAAATTTTAATAATTTCATAGACTTTCATTTCATAGAACTTTTATTTCCTGCTTTAAGTTTTTTCGAATAAAAAACTAAAACAAAAAAATGTTTTTTCTTTCATTAGAAATTTTGTATTTTTTCCATAAATATTTTATTATTTATTCTTCTTTTTCTTATCTCACATTTCGATTATGTTCATTTTTTATTCATTTCAAACAGAACTAATATTTTCTGTGACATTTTAAATTGATATTGCTTTTATAAATTAAATTCTTCTTATTTATAATATTCTGATTATTTAAATAAACAATAAAAGATATTTAAACAATTATTCATCTTTTTCAACTAATTAATCATAAAAATTTTGACAAAAAAAATTCACATTTTATCTTCAATTTCATTCGACTTTCAACATGTTATTCGTAAAAATCATTTCATTTATTATGAATATCGAAGAGTTTCTTATTTTATTTTAAAGGAAAATTCATAATAAAAAAACAAATCTTCTCTTCATTAATTATCTATAATTAAACTAATTTTTTGTTAAAGTTTCATTCTTATGATAAGATTCAATAAAAGGCAAAGAATTTATATTCTAGCCTTTCATTGAACATTCTTTTATCTTAACTATTTTTGTTTTTTGAAACATTAGAAAATAAGACAATAAAATATTCTCTTTTCTTTCTCTGGGTTAGATTTTTTTCATTTGATTAGGTAAAAAAAAAAAGTTCAAATTTTATATTTGTTCAACAAATCTTACCTGAACTCCATAAATCTATAATATTTGGAAAAACAGGCCACGTATCTTTACTTTTTCTTAATTCTTTAATTATTTTCATTTCATGTTCAAAATTCCATGAGAATTTGTGTTTTCGTAAAATCTTCATTACATATTTTTTTGACTTATTGACTTTGTTTTTCATTTGTAACAAATAAACAATTGAAGTTGCACCTTTACCTAATCTGTCTATTATTTCATAACTATCACCAAGTAAATAATCAGATGGAATTATATTTAACATTTCATAGTGATAAAATTCATATTTCATTGTTAAAAATTTAATAAAAATTTTCCAATTTTCTTTACTAAAATAAATTTCTTTTGATTCTTTATCTATTTTTATTACATCAAAATTTGACCGTTTTACAGGATCATCTTCAATTAATTTTAATGTTTTACTTTGATAATACTGTAAATCATCTTTGTTCGACATTTTTTCACAATAAAAAAATGTTATTGTGTAAAAATCATATAAAAATGCATAAATTCTTCTCCAACCTTGTGATTTATTTAACATATTAAAATATCTTCCTATTTCTCCAATCGTAGCAGTTGTAAAGTTACCATTTGTTGATGTTTTTAATTCACCAAAACAAATAAGAAAATTTGATAATACTTTCGAAATACTTGTATCTTTAATTGAAACATTTTTGAATATGTAACTACAATCAGGACTGCAACCATCTAAAGAATGTTTCTTAGATGAATTTATATATTTCAATACTGTATAATTCTCAAATGATTTCAATAACATATCCATAAATTTGTCAAATGCTGTTTGTAATGTTGTTTCTAATATAGTATTAAATGATTCAAAACTATTCGATGAATTTTGAATATCTTCTAAATAATTTTTAATACGTAGTTCAATATTATTATTATAAACATCATCATTTAATGAACAAAGACTATCATTTAATAATGAATGAATTTCGAATTCACTAATGTTGTTAGCCATTTCTTTATAATAAAAATCCTCATTTTTTGTAATAGGACATAAGGGGGATGCGTTTGACCAAGTCATCGATTGAGTAGTTGTACTTGCTGATTTACTACATGTTGAACTTGTATCTGTAGATTGAATATTGCTTGCAATTGTACTTTGATCAGTTGATGATGACGATCCTTTAGCTTTCGTTTTCGCTCGTTTTGTTGTAAATTCTTCGCCAAGATATGATCGTTTTTTTCTTGCTGGTATTGTACCTTGCCTAATTACTGGTTGGTTCAGTGGTGTTTGTGGGACCTTCCATTGGTTGTATTGCAAGTCCAATTCTTTTTGTTTCGTTTCTTCTTTTTTCATTCTTTCTTGTGCCAAAACTTTATCTTTTTCAGCCAAAGCTTTATCTTTTTCAGCCAAAGCTATGTCTTTTTTAATCTTCATCTGCTTAGTTTCTTCTTCTTTGATTTTCAGTTGGAGTGCTAGATCCGATGTTGTTCCTGGTATGTTTTCTTTATTTTGATCATCACTATTCATAATTATCAAGTTTCACTTGTAAAAAATCTAGAAGTATATGAAAAAAGTTTTTAAGATGAGTGTTGTGAAAACATACTTAGAATATAAATAAGCAATTTTCTACTTAGGAACTATGAAAAACAAATACATAGTTTATTGGAAGACAACGAATTCGAATCATTGAAAAAATTTTCTTAGAAACTTTCTAATTCGTCACGATCTGTTTCAGATAGGATAACACTAGTATGAAAACAATTATATATTTTATTAAAATTAATGTTAAGTATAACTTCTGACAAGAATTTTTAAGTGTCACTATTTTATTTTATTTAGTTTTAGTTATGAGAACATATAATAGTGAACTTATCATTTATAATCAACTACCTTCTGCATATCACGATAGAGATTTATGCAATTTCTATTATCTCAAATCAAAAGATTTTTATAGAAAAAGTATTTTTTTTTAAATCAAATCAATTTTCACAATATTTTTACATTATTATTTTTCAGTATCTACCACTTAAATACAGCGTTCGATTTATTTGCTTCGAAACATTTTTTTAATTTATTTGTCAATAATTAAGGATTTTCAATAATTAATTTATTCTCTACAATTTAAACAATCTTTTTTTTATCCATATTTTATATTGACGAGCATAATTTTATTTAGAAAGAAATTGAATAAATTATTGAAATAAATAAACATGAGAAAATTTCTTATCGTCAGTAATCGAATGAATTTGAGAGAAGAAATATAAGATGAATGCTAACTGTTATCACTTAATGATAGTCAATTGTTGACGATCATACTCGACAATAATATGGACAGATCACCTATGAGAAAACAAGTTTTTTTCTTACTTATTTAAATTCCCTTCATTTTTCTATCAATTTAAATTTAAATTGACTAATAGTAACATTCATATTTTGTTGATATTCTGTTTAATCTAATTGTCATTTTTCAAGAATTTAAATCATTAAATAGAAAGATATTGAGAATAAAACCAATCATAGATTTGAATTAACCCATAGGTGCCATGGCTTATATATATGGCAAGAGCTTTTGTTTATATAACTGTCTTTATAAACTCATTTCGATTTGATCGAAAATGACTTCTCTCTCTTTCTCTTGTGTTGCCAATATTATTGCATCATCATCCTACATCACTATAAGTATAGTACAAGTATAAACAAGGTGAAGAATATCTACATAATTGAAAGACGGAAAATGAAGAAGGAGATTATTCGTAGAACAGCATATCTTATTAAGCAAATAGAAGACTATTCAAAATCCTCGATTTAGAAAAGATGTTGTAGGTGGATTAACATACGAAATATTTTTTTGAAGTCTTATTCTTTAAATAAACACACTGTTCTGTGAATAATTTCTTTTTGTTATCATTCTACACTTGTACCATACATATATCAATGCAAGACGATGATGCAATAATGTTGACAACATAAGAGAAAGAGAGAGAGAAATCTTCTGGATCGAATCTAAATGAGATTATAACGACAGCTATATAAGTAAATGCTCAGCCCATATATATACGAGTCCTGGCTACAATGGATTAAAGAAAATTTTTTTTTAGATCTTCACATTTTGTTGAAACTAAAATCAATAATAAAAAGAAAATTAGAAAAACTCATTTTTTCTGTTTTATGTATTTTTCAAATTTTGTTGAATATTTGAAAGTATCTAATAGAACTTCATCTTTTTTTTTTTGAACTCCTGTAATTCTTAATTTATATTTTCATATAAATTTTATAAATCAATATGTATATGATTAAATGTAAAATATTTCTTTAACATTGATTCATTATATCAACGACGATTTATTGTTAAGTCAACTAATCAAAGATTAATTTTATTATCTAAATGTCAGCTATTAATGATGAGAAATTTTCATATAGAAATGATAAAGATTATTTATCTAAAGTTTTTCAATTAAAAGTTCGAACCTAAACTATAAATAATGGATAAAATGTTTAATTGTTTATTTTATCTGAAATTAAATTTTATTCTTTGACTTAATTGAAATAAGATATGATATTCTATTTTAATTTTTGATTTATCGTTTCTAGAAAATATTTTCTTAAAATTCTTTCTCGAAGAAATTCTTAAAAGAATTTTTAATCCTATGAAGAAAAAGAAAAATCAACTAACATAGAGAGATATTGAGAAGAAAAAACAAATGAAATAAATAAAGAAGAAAAGTTCAATTATAAAAATTATTTAACAACTTACTAAAGAATTCAATATTATTATTATAAATTGAAGTTAATCGACGAAAGAGATGGAATATAAATACGTTTTTTTTGTTTGACTAGTCCGTTACTTTACATATACATATATATATATTTGATAGAAACAATAGTGTTCATTGTTTATTGTTTCGATGTGATACGATTCTATTGGATAGTAAGAAATGTAAAAGAAGAGGGCGATCAAATTCAATTGATTGTATATGAATGTATCAACCTCTGTAGTATGATTTAGTTGAAATTTTCTTGACAATTTTCATTGTATACATAACACAAATGTTTATTTTCTTATGTATTGATAAAAATTTACTATTATTAGTGAAATTTGGGTGGGGTGTGGGTGTGAGTGTGGGTGTGGGGTGTGGGGTGTGGG